CTGTTCATGGCATAAATCGTTCTTTTATCCAGCAGCACTTGTAAATTGTAATTTAAGCTTCTGCTTGATATATCTCCATAACAAATAAAGATATTGGTCTGCAGTTCAACCAGTTTATAGGCTTTGTTATGCACTTTCTGAAAAATATGGCAAAATCATATCCTTGTCTTTGGAATTTTTGGGAACATCAGAAAAGACGCTTATACATCCACAACGCTCCATGTGGCAGCCACAAACTGAACTAATCTGGCATGATTGAGCTTTATTAGGCGCGCAGGTGATCCTTAAATAGCCAAAAAGATGTTATGCTTTTTCTAAACTGACATTCAACCCTTCATCCATCCTAAGCCAACCGAAATATGAAAAAATGACATAAGTAAAAAAGTTTGATAATTAGGCGGTCAACACGATGGGGCTATTTAATCAGTATGTTACTTATGAATTTTTGTCTTAAAACGAATGCGACCATTTTAGGAAACTAATTTTGAGCAATTTTCTTGGCCACTTTGATAATAAGGTCTTTAACCGATTTAGGTTAAGCGGTTGCCGAGATATAGCTGGAGTCATTTATTATTGGCCCACCCGGTGCTACTGTAGCTAATTATTACTACTCGTAAAAATGGTTCTCTATTAAGGACTTGACAACTTTCTTTTTAAACGCAAACCATTCGAAATTTCATTATTGGATTGAAGCATACTCAAAACATTTATGTATGGAATCGATCTCGGGAACGTTCGCAGCGATCGATTCGTTTGAACCCAATTTGAATGACTCGGCCACACATTTCGGCAGAAGAAACGGCCCTATCTCTCGTTCAATATTGGCTCTGAGCTCCTCTAACGACGCAGGGTAGGGTTGTTGGCCGTAGACCAATGATTTAATCTAGCCCCACAAAAAAGTGTAGAGGGTGTTAAATCACACGATCTAGGCGGCCATTCGACGCGACCATTCTCGATATAGCACGTTCACCGAGTTTTGATTTCAATATGTCGATTGTTTCACCCCCTGTTTGGGCTTTTAGCACTGTCTTATTAAGACCACATATAATTAATGTCTAGCCCATCCAATTGACCAAAAAATAACGTTGCAACATGTTTCTGTAGCGATCTCCGTTGACGGTAAACGTGACGGTCATTTTCATCAACGAAAAAAACTGCCCAATGACACACCGGTATGAAAACCATCCATACAGATATTTTTTACCCAACGACACACCGGTATGAAAACCACTCCATACAGATATTTTTTGTGGATGAAGTGGTGTTTCTTGAAGCGCATCAAGGTTTTCATCTGACGAGTAACGCATATTCTGATTGTTTGACGAAGCCGTTTAGCCAAAAATGCGCCTCATCAGAAGATGATTTGAGATGAAAGTGATAATTTTCTTGCAACATTTCTAGAGACCAATCGAGAACCGACGTCAGTTCATATGATCGAACGGCTTTAGTTTTTGAGTTAACTTGATCTTATAAGAGTGCAGGCCAAGATTTCTTCGCAAAATTCGCGACGTGTTCTGTTCGTTTGCGACGGAAAGTGGAACGGCAGCAATATTCTCGGTACTTCGACCAACCCGTTGCCTGACTGGCACGGGAACATCCAGCACCGAATATGTGGACTCAATTTTTTACTAGACTATGAATTACTTGTCTGCTGAGACGAGAATTACGACCAAAAGTTATCGTTAACGCAGTCACCGATTCGAAATTTCGGTAGTAAACTTTAATTATTTGTAAGCGTTGTTCGTTCGTAATGAAAACGTTTTCTTTACTGAATATTTTGACATTGACAGTTCGGTAGTTGATTTAACGGTGTGTTCACAGTGAAAGATCAAAGTTGTCAAGTCCCTATTGGAAAACCCGATATAAAACCAACCTAATAATTCCTCAACAGTTGAGTTGCAGGCCTGATCCATCAACGCTTGGACCATCTTGAATGTGAGACGTACCAGATACTGATGTTGTTCTTCGACGCAAGGCGTTATGAGATCTATAATTGGTTTGGAACATTTTGGAATTTTTTCCTTGATTACTTGACAGATTGTCTTAGATCCCATTTCTATTTTCACAACACATTCTCCAACTTTTTTCAAAACATCCTGAAATAAACGAATGATGGGTGCCCGTCTTGTATAACGGAGAAAGCAAAATGATTAAAGTCGGATCTGGACTTACCTCGGCGTCTGTTTTTAGGTTTGGGCATTTCTCTTGGGTCTTATTGAAAATATCACGAGCATCTTTCATATGTTTATTGCCCTTGAATGAAAAAAACTTCTCCAGGAAGTCAAGATCAAGTTCTTCTGACGAAGATTCTTTTTCTTCGGCTAAAATCAATGTGAAAAGCTTGGTCAAAGGCTAGTTCAGAATATTATAATCTGATGGATACTTTTTCAAAAAAAAATCTCTTACCGTAAACAACAGCAATGCACAAAAGCACAACGTACAGTTTCATGTTGATTAGTTTAGAGATCACCTTCTCACTAAATATGAGCGTTTACACTTTGTAACCTTTATATATATATAAGACTTTGTTTATTATGTCATTGAATATTAAAATTATTTAATATCATAAGGTCATAGATAAGGTGTACGTCGACTACTTAGTTATCGCAGGTTTTTTAAGCTCTGTGTTCAAAACAGACTAGACCAACAGTAACGAATTTTTACCTACACAATGTTGTATACTGTTTTGCATACCAAAGCTTTTGGCTGGCAAAGATTTTTGAACCTTCCTGGAAACGTTGAAAGTCCATAAACCAGATAAATCACATAAGCGGACCTCTGGTCACATAATTCATCGTAGCCAAGTGTAAATAGTAACCGCAGTGTAGTGCATGCCCACTCGCGTCATGTGTTGTTTTTCCAGGAAGTATTTGAACATTCTGAATCAGTTTTTGCATAACCTTATCCAAAAAGATTCCCTTTCAACGAATCCACATGCTGCATCAAGGATTTTTTGAATAATTTTTTCAATTTAAAAAATTGTTTTTTTCGCTCCAAACAATTTTTTATGTATAATGGTACGTTTTGGACAAAAAAAAAGTTCTAATGAACTTTTTTTGAAGTTTATATTTTTGAGTTATTAGCGATTTCATATTAGAAAAGGTGCGACATGATTTCTGACCCCGTGATAAAATATGAAAGAACAAAAATTTTAATGTTGCCAAAGTACTCAAATAGTCTTTAAACGTCAAACAATGAAATTCCAAAGCATTCCAGGGGACTGGTTATTGTTAAACCTTTGCCTTTCGGGCGCTTAATATATATTCTGTGTTACGCGAGAGAAATGCAATATACGAGGGATGTCTTTTAAGTTTTGCATATGGAAATAAAATAACACGGTAGGTAGTTTTAAATGACTTTATTGTTTTTTCGAAGTATTCTCCACGAAGATTAATACACATCTGCATGCGCTCGAACCAATTTTCGAAGCACTTATTCCACTCGTTTGCTGGCAGATCCAAAACGGCATTTTTGAATGCGTCAACTGCTTCTTCTGGTGACTCGAACCTTTGACCACGCAGTCTGTTTTTAATTTTTAATAGTCTATCAAGTATTTATTGCTTCGATGTTGGTCTAGATATTTTTAGCCGGTACTTTGATAAATGGTTGATTGAATGATGATTAAACCAAAGCTAATTTCGAATTTAATCTCTTTTTTCTTCTTTCTTTTGCTGAAAAAAATGTCAGTGTCTCAGTGTCAGACAAATGCTCATAAAAGACTGACAAAAACCAGTCGTATTTGCGATTCTCTATGCTAATGATTATTGTGAACAAATTAATCGACTCCATTGAAAATTCTCCGATTTAGCCAAGTCGAGCAACGTGATCTCTGTACAGGGTGACCCTTTTTCGATGATATTGCGGAGTATCTCACTCACTAATAAAGATAGAGAGTTGAGGCTTCCGCATAACTGTGCTACTTCTTTGTGAAAAAAAAAGCTAGATCCAGTGGCGTAGTCAGGGCTGTGTTTTAAGTTTTGCATATGGAAATAAAACAACACGGTAGGTAGTTTTAAATGACTTTATTGTTTTTCGAAGTATTCTCCACGAAGATTAATACACATCTGCATGCGCTCGAACCAATTTCGAAACACTTATTCCACTCGTTTGCTGGCAGATCCGAAACGGCAATTTTGAATGCGTCAACTGCTTCTTCTGGTGACTGGAACCTTTGACCACGCAGTCTGCTTTTAATTTTCGGGGAAGTAAATAAATCGATAGGACTTAGATCGGGACTATATGGAGGATACTCCAATAATTCCACGTCTTCTTCCGTTAAATACTGCCTTGTTTTTTGGGCTGTGTGCGCGCTTGCATTGTCTAGGTGGAGGATGATTCTTCTTTCGGGGTTGATTTTTCGAAGCTCGGTGATGACTTTTGGCAAACGAATGGTGGTATACCAATCCGCAGTAACAGTTCTTTGCTCATTAAGAGGAATTGTTCAAAATGACCCGCTTTTGACACGAATGTAGCGACGATTTTTTTCTAAACACTTTCGAGACCGGATGACTTTTGTTGGCTTTTCTTCACCTTGGAACACGCAAACAGCCGACTGTCGTTTATTTTCTGGTTCATAACAGTAGATCCACGAATCATCACCTCTTTCAATGCTGTACACATTTTTTGAGTTTCCGGAATTGAAACGGTCAAGCGTTTTTTGACACCAATTAACCCTGGCTGCTTTCTGCTCTTCAGTCAACAGGTGGGGTATCCAACGATAAATTAATTTTCTTACTCCTAATTCTTCATGAAATTTTTTTGAATTGAGGTCTTTGAGATCTACAATCTCGTGATATGTCACATATCTATCTTCAATGATGACTTTGCGCACAGCATCGAAGTTTTCCTGGGTGACTGCCGTTTTTGGTGCACCCACCCTGGGATCGTCGCTAAGACTCACCCGTCCACGTTTGAATTCTCCATACCAACGGGAAATTGTCGACTGATGTGGCGCTTCGTTGCCGAAAACAGACAGTAACTCAGCAAGGCATTCTTGTTGCGAAAGTTGTAATGAATTATGGCGCGAAAATGTTCTCGGTTGAGTTCCATTTTTCTAATGACTTGGTGACACTTAAAAATTCACTGTAGTGAGAACACTGCACGTATTGTTGTGAAACTTTGAATTTAAGTTTACTAAAGAGTGAGGTTAAGATTCAGTACTGACGCGGCCTACTATGTTTCTATATGCAAAACTTAAAAGACATCCCTCGTATAGGCGGCCGCCAGCTTTTGGTTAGTATTGTTAGCAAAAAAAAAAACGAATCAGAATATTTGTCATGGTACATGCGAAAATACTTCCTGGACTATGGGAATCAAAACTTGAATGACGATTGACAATTTTCGCTCGCGGTCGGGTTTCGCCACCTCGGCTGTTCTTCCACTAAACCCTTGTGTGACATTGGAAATTTATATTCATGTTCACCAAAAAATGTTGAAATGAAACAATGTAAAAGATCAATACTAGAAACCATTGCAATTACACATTCAGGAGATGCAACTTCAAATGTAGTTTATACTTCTTCAGAGACATATTTTTCAAGTCGTTTGGTAAAGAATTGTATAAAGAGATTGCATCAAATGTGAAATGTCTTGCGAATATAGAAATCTTGTGTTGAGACATAATCAATATTTCTTGAAAACGAATAATTCTATAGGCGTGGATTTATAATGAGGAATTAACATTCTGTACAAGGATGGAGGTTTCTTGTTGAGCATTGTTTTATGTACAATTGTAAACAGTAAATGTTTGAACAGGTTCTTAACAGTTCATGGCAATGATATGGCTTGATGTGTGATCATATCTTGCTAGATTACTAATGAAACGACAACTATAATTTTGGATTGTCTGCAAACGTTTGGTTCTAGTCTAGGCAGGGTTAATACGATGGCATACAATGAAGACATTTGGAAAGAACTGGTCTTTCATATATTTTTTAAACATAGACAATATGTTTTTGTTGGCCTTAATGCTAAATAGCAGTTTAGTTACACGGTCGAAGAATTTCAAGTGTGACTGGTTGATACAACTATGCATGTTTTCCTTAAAAAAGCTCGATTTTGTTTTTAAGGAGACTAAAATCTTTCGGGGTTTTTCAGAGCATTTTCCTTTGCACAATTAAAGATTACTTCTAGATCTTTGTTTGTAAAAGTGGTAGCTTCATGATAATATGCGTGCAATGATATATATTTGGGTATCGTCGGCGTAGGCGTATTTTACAATTTTCAACAACTGTGATCAAATTTGAGATGTCTGATGTGAATAAAAAGAGAAACATTGTGGTACGCCAGATTTGATTAGCTCAAGTGATGAAGTTTTGTCGCCAAATGAAACTTGACGTCTTCTCAGAAAGTCCTAAATAGTTCAATTTTGATAATAAGTGCTCATGGAATATTGTATCGAAACCTTTAGAAAAATCAAGAAGCATTAAAAGTGTAGCATAACCTCTATCAAACCTGTGATGATGTCATCGATCTATTTATCTCTCCTTAAATCCAGACTGCTGATCTGGAAGTCGATTAATGATAGTTAAATGAGTATTAAAGTGAGAAAGCATGACATTTCCAAATAATTTGGATAAAACAGGGAGATGACTGTAATGAGGTTTATGTAGTTTGAGTTTTTGGGATTTACTTTTTTTAAATCTAATGATTTTCAACTACAACTTTTGAACGTAGAATTAAATGACGTGTAGCACTACAAAGTAAACGTTCTTCACTTTTAAAGCGTTCGTTTAGCTATTTTTCACATTTTTTTGTCAGTAACTTAATACTCGGTAAAAAAATATAAACACATTATTTTTGTTGTCCCGTACGCATCCGAGTGATTTTAGACAAAAAGAATATGTTACGCCCGTCTTTCACTGTACGAAATTCAATACATAATTCTGTTTGTCGAAGAATCTGTTACCACTTCCGAATGTCATTTTTCGCAATACCAAACGTCTATTCTAACCATACTCTTTGATGCGGTTTGGAACAGATGTCTTCTTATCAGTTTTACCGCCAGCTTAGTGGTTTTGATGGCTCTCTCCTACTACTTCTGCGGTGTCTTGTTTATCCCAACTCCAAAGTCGGTACTCAAATGATTGGCATCGCTAGCCTCAACTGTACAGGATAACCAACTAAGAATGCGAGGTCCTGTATCGGGGAACCTACCCATTGTAGAGGCTTGCAGCAAAAATACTTACTAAAACGACCAAGAGAAATCTTTTTTACAAAAAAATACTTAATCTTTGAAATCGAGAATGATCTAAACCTTCCTTGTTTGACAATTTTTGCTGTATTTCTAAAAAACAGGTGGTGCGGTTGAGCCGATTTTAACAAACTTGGGCTAGTTCAAAAGAGCTATTCTTGGGCTACAAATTTTATAATATTCAAAGTTTTGTTCGTTTCATATGTAGGCGCTAGGGGGCTTTTTTCGATATTCCGACAGAAATGCTTGACTTTCTCAATAAAAGTAAATACATTGGTATGATTTTTATTTATGAAAATGCAAGCAAGATCACGAAA